TGATTCACGTGTCGTTCGAAGAATGCCATACCCTGTGTACGCTAAGCGCCACTACTCGGCCGGTCTCCTTCACCTTCTTTCTAGCGTTCCTTTGAGAGCCTTGATGGACTCATGTGGCTTGACCCAGAATCTGGCCTGGTCTGGTTTCTTCGGCCAACGCAGTCTCATCCCTTCAAAATAGTGCCTGCCTCATGAACGTTGTCTCGATGAAGTACGAGGGGGAAAGCACCATCAAAGGCAGTAGATCCCTTCCTTCTTCCACTGAGCCTCCTGCCGTTTATCTCAGTCCTCCTTCTCTCTCTGTCTCTCTTTCTCTCGCCCTCCCCCCACGAACAGCGGGTCACATGGAATGGAGACCCAATTTCGTCAACTCTTGATGGTCCGCAATGTGTGCGTTAGGCCCCGAGACAACCTCTAAGCCCTTTTTACTTTTCTCGAGAAAAAAAAAGTGAACAGAAAAGGGAAACACCCCGTCACGGGGAGATATGAACAACACCCTGAGCCACATCTGATAGAGATCCCTTCCGAGCTGGCCAACACTAGATGTGGCGTGGGGTGGGGAGTGTGGCTGCATCACAGAACAAACGTACTGCCAGGTGGGCTGTCAATTCCACGACCGCCAGCCCCTGCGCGAACCGGGGCCAAAATGCGAACGACGGCGTGTTCCTTGCAGCTTTTCAATGGAGACCCTGCAACACGTATCCTCGACTGGGAATGTGGGCGCAAGATCTCTCGTTGATGATGCTTGATCGAATCTGACCGGCGGCACCTAGCACCCAGACAGCCCATCCTTGTTCGCCGTTCGCCACAGTTATCAAACAACGGTTTTGCGGAGCAAGCCTCTCGAGGGAAAGTGATCATCAGGGCCGGACCATTTCAAAGCTCAGTGAAGCAGCCCAACTGACTAGCCTGGGCTTCCATGACATCCACATGGCCATTTCGGTATTTTGAAGCCGGTTGTGCTGTTGATCCGGAGGCTAAGGATTCCACGATCGCGTGCAAGCAACACGACACTGCCAATCGAAGTCCCATCAGCCACTCTTTGACGTGCAAGGGGGAAGGGGGGGAAATTGGCTCTATCGATCGTTCTCCAAGAGGCAACACCCCACCATATTCCGTGAGCCTGGCGCGGCAAACTCCCGAATGTCGGTCAAGCGACGAAAGGCTCCCAGATCATCTAATCACACCCCCACCCCGTCTGTCCAGGCGGCCTCACCCTGGTGCCCAACGCCTGCATCAAGCGATACCCTTTTCGCCACAAGCAGGTCAGGGGGAAAGTGGAGGGATTAAATGGCCCACAAGAATGCCTGTCCAGTTGGCAAGGGTCATCCGCCTGGACGGTGACAAGGCAGCAAGGCGACGAAAGCGACGACTTGGGTGCTTGAGCCGAGAATAGAGGCTCACCTCACCCCTGCAACAACTCAACTATTCAACCCCCATTTCGTCTCAAGCAGCGCTCGATGCCCTGTGAATTGCAATTGTCTTCAGATCAGCGGAGACCGAGCGAACCTTGAACGCTTTGATACAACGCCGACGAACCAAGCTTGTGTGTGTGTGTGTGTGTGTAGAAAACGTGCGTCTTATCACAGCATCGTCGTCCTCGGTAGACATCGACATCACAAGTCCCCCCATCGGCAATACTCACTGCTCTGGCCCTTTGAGCGACCCATAAGACGGCCGAGACGAAATTACCATCGTATGAAATTTGCGGCCCACTGGCTCGATGAACAGGGCCACAGCTCCGGGTTCAAGCGTATCCTGCATCGTATCGGAACAGGAAGACATATCAGGCGCCGATCGTCCCTGCTGATGGAGGCAACCATTTTGACATTTTTTTGTGAGGCGTGGATGTCCACGTGCATGTTCGCTCAAAGCACAGGTGGGCAAGTGGCGATCCCAGATGCACGGCGCGAGCGATGGACAACACAGGTCGGCAAGGCTCCTTGTTCAGACGCTGGTCAATGGCCCAGCCCAGAAGGCCAGGGCTGTCCAACTCAGGCGCCATGGCCAATCTACCGTGCGGCATACGTATCAAAGGTTCGGGCACGAGGGCTACTGCTTGATGACAATTGTTTTCATCGCCGAAGATTTCCACACAATCAGTCCCTTGATGCGGAAGCGGAAGCCAAGTGTGTGCCGTCCTTCGCTGAGTTGAATCTCCCTACACGCAGATACCAAGCCGCTTGTTGTCAAGCCATCGTCACTTTTCATGTGTCGCATTCGTACCGACGTACCGCTACAGCTGACAGCCACAGATCTGGGTACCAGAGCGGTAGATCTGCTTGCTTAATACGGGCATGTCACCGAGGACCTCCACGCCGCTGAAGCCATACGGGTGTTCCCCGCCCTGACCACGGTCATCCTAGCAATCATCCACGTCGTCAATCAGTTGGCCAGGGCCGAAGTCCATGCTGCCAGCTCTTCCTCGCAGGCACTCATTGCTGCCCACAAGGTCTGTAGCCCGGCTTTCCAACGGGAAACAGGGGCAAGACGCCACCGGGCTCTTGGTTGGGGTGGAGAGGGACCAGCTCATCCCAGACCGCAGATCACGCAACGAAGTTGCTTTTCCGACGGACAGAAGGTCCAGAGCCTGGCATTAGAGGTCGACAGGCATGTCTCGATCTGCCAGCCTCGAAAGCGGAGACGTCTCTGCAAGACAGTGCGTCTTCTCGTGTCTAATCTCGCCCAGCCACCCTATCTGCCTTTCACCGGTCTCCAGTCTGAACTGTCTTTTTGATACTACGTTCAGATTTCAAACCCGTGGCGGATTGAATCACCGGGACACGAACTTTGAGGCCTTATTACCCCTTTTAAGAAGGGTTCGAGACCATGCCCGGCCATCTGGAAGTGGAGAGGAAATCGCCATCTGGCATGAAAATTGCACACAAAGTGCTCGAATTTTGGCGCACCGGCCGCTTGTTGGTGCTTGTAGGACCACAGCGGAGACTGTACACGGCCCGGCTGTATCAGCTGACCCTATGTCGCTTCGAGTCTGTCCGACTATCGCCTCGGGCATAGCGATACAGAGGGCAAGAGACAAGAATGAGCGCGCTCCGTGCGTCCTGTTGCCTGTACTTTATCGGGGAGGTGGTGGATCCCATGTCGTCGTCGGTAGTCTTCGTCGCTGACAGGTGGCTGAATGAGACAGAGACTCGCCCGCCGTTGGAAGTGGGCTCTCCTTATCCACTTGGGAAACTTGAGAAACTGAATACTCATCAATGTAACCTCACAGTGTTCATCTATCTCTTGCGCTTGGCCGAGCTACTTGCAACAACCTCCCGCATCATGTCGTTTCACATGAGTCGCCTACAAATGTGCATGGTCGCAGATGCTGAACGATGTACTACCTCTGTCTCGCCCGTCTCACAAATCACAGCAACGGGCTGACGCGTGATCTAGAGTTTCGCGTCGCCGTGATGGGTTTGTCTGCCCGTTTAGAGTTGGCTGCACATCTCCAAGAAGGACAAATCCCCGGACGGCAAAGGCGGTCGGCGGGGCCGGCCAGCGGCCATTTGATGTCGCCGAGTGGCGCTCAGCAAGGAAATGAGACGTATTTTGGGGTTAAGCCGCAGAAAACGAGAGCGCGGGCTGCGTCGCAATACAGATCGCTTTGGGGTGCGACGCGACGTGTCTTGGGAGGCCGCCCCCCCCCTTTTCCTCCTGTCCCCCAGTCCTCACTCAACCCCAGGATACTTGGCGCAGCGCGGCATGTCTATCTAGTTGCACGGTTCAAGCATGCCGAAGGCCAGGCGATGCTGTCGTTGAGCGGCACGTACTTCACGTGGGGGGCTGGGATTCCTGTTCCTGGGTCACTCAAATGAGATGATCCTCTCTGTCGCGTCGAACTTGATTCTGCAACCGTATTGGGATACCTGGCCACCCCCGGTCGTGCTAAGTAACCCTGTCGTGATCGCAGCCTACTACGCGCGCGGGCTAGGTGTTAAACAAAACTGAGTGCCTGGTCAGTAGAGTTATTTGACTTCAAGTTTGCGGCGCAATGGTATACGTCATAGTTCAGATGCCCATGTTCTTTTTGCGTCCTTTGTGAGATTTGACGCATCCATGAGACATGTATCGTTGTAGTACCGGCCAGGTATCCACTGGGTTCTGGTCGTCTCGGGTTCGTGATTCATCACATGGTAAAGTGCCGAACTGTATATTCACTGCTCGGTAGCGTTGGCTGTCTCTCGATTTCTTCTGGCCAGGTTGGTAGATTACGGAAATGTCCAAGCAACCCAGGGCTCTCGCAGGAAAGAGGCAGACAAAAGCCTTACATAGATGCTGATTATATTCGTGGATAGATTTCTTAGCCTCTCTCAGTACATGCCATATGGCTAGTGTGACTTTTGTGAATCGATGTAGCCTAAGTTGTATGCCTGAGAATCTCATAAATTTGACATCACTTCTCCTCCAAACAACGATGTGAAACTAGGTACCCTCCCCGGACATGCCAGTGGGCCAGAAGACTATTGTCAGTGTGGCCGACGACCCTAACGACCTATGGGATAGAAATGGTACGGATTCTTATGCAGGAAACGGATAGAATTCCCAACTATGTTGCCGTGTCGGCTACCATTTTGGCAGCCCTACGACCTCTCGGTGCTAGTTGTTCCAATATCTCATCCCGCAGATTTGCTATCGAGGAGAAACGGACCTCCCGGAGTGGCCTTTCTACGGGCATGTGTCGATGCAGCAACCACCAAAAGGTCACACAGCCTTTCACTACGATCAGATTCCGTGTACATTTACGAGATCACCACAATCACACAATCATTCATGATGCAAGACTGTGCAAAAGAAAGCATCATTGTACCCCGCACCAAAGCCCAGCAGCACTCGGTATGGAAAAGAAAACACAAATGGCATGATATACATGTTACTGTCTCTCCTTGACTCAAATCATGTGCCTACGATATGTGGAAGTAGGTCAAGCCAAACATTCGTGCAGCCTCGAGTACCAAACGCTCCGGATAATGCGCCCTCCGCCTTGGTAGACATCATGGACACAAGGCTGACGAGCGCCAACAACAGTAGCGCCACGACACCATGCACGCGGACGGCACTGATAAGCACCAGCCTTGGACACCCTGTTCGGAAAATGCCAAGAAGTAACAATGTGTTTGTTGGTCGACACTACCTGCGGTTGGCCTTATCAGAAAAGCCATCAGTAGTACGCTGCTCGGGCATTTATCATGGTGGAAAAGCAAGTCTGCTATGAGACCTGACTGAGACCGCCACTATGTCACGCGCCCGTCCTTCCTGCAGTTTATTGCAAGCGAGAAACAACTGACGAGGCGGTCAGAGTCAGAGCCCCATGTAGGGCGTGGAGGCCATGCGACGTACTTGGTCGAAGCTACTGCCAAGGCCAAACCCATTGTAGCATCTGACCGGGTTCCATTCTTGCTCCTGTTGCCCAGCTCACTAGAGTTACACACGTAGTGACCAATCTCGATGTCATTCGGGAGGGGGAAAAACCAGAGAGCAAAGCTCACATATGGCGTGGATGGTTCTAGTCAACGCAATACTTGTTACTGGTCCTGACCATGAGAAAACATAGATACGAATATTTTCCTTCCAACACTACTATTCCAGAATGTGCTTCGCTCACACGTAAATTGTTGCGCGCTACCGTTACCAACTTCAACAACTATGCTGGCTAAGTCTGGGATAGAAGACCGAGTTCATCACAAAAATCAGATGGTATGTTCTTTTCGAAAACCGGTACAAAAAAGCATCACGCCTTGCATCGCCTGACACGCAGTCAACGCCCCCTCATCCTTCAATAGCCAGCTGGTCACGCTCTCGATCGCCACGGTGTCGCCGGTGATGCCTCGAGTCTTCTTCGTGCCTCCGGTGCCGATCTCCGCGATCTTTTTCACGATCATCGTCGTATTTGTCGTAATCATCATCGCGGCGGTGTTGGCGGTACGGCTTCGACCTTTCATCATCATCGGCATCGCGGTCACGCCCCCGCTCGCGATCCCGTACTCGATCAGCGTCGCGGTCACGATCGCGATCGCTCGTGCGTTCTCCATCTCGTCGCCGCTCTTGAAAGGAAGTTAGCAGTGTACCATGTGGGAGAAGGCTGTCAAATGGCCTACCTCGGAGTATCTGCGTTGCCGAGGCGTACGCTTGAATCTCCTCTTTGCTTAGGACTCTCAGAACGATGACAAAATCATCGCGAACCTCGAATCGTTCTTTGCCGACCGTCAGAGCTTCAGGGTTAACAACCTTGCGGCTAATCTTAGTCCAGCGCGCGCCCGCAGGAGCATCCTTCAGTTTCTTGTCGTCCTTATGCGGTGCTACGCCCTCACGGATAGGGTTGTGCTCCTCGGGGAATTTGCTCGGTTGCTTCAGAATGCCTTTCAATGGCTTGGAGTCCGTTTTGTCGCGAGGTGGCGAGACGACACGGACCTGCTTGTCTTCAGTTTTCAACGGGGTAAGCTCTCGGCCGCGAGATTCGTCCTTTCCCCCAACAAGCGTCGAATCTTGAGATGGAGGCAGGATTGGCTCTTTTGGCGGGATTGGTGGCGACACCACCTGAGCATCCTTCAAATCTCGCGTAGGTTCCGGCACCGCCGAGCGTGACTCTCTGTGGTCCCTGTAGGAATCAACAGGCACCGAGCGAGCATCTTTGTAATCTTTGTAGTCTCGGGCTGGCTCTGCCACAGTAGCGCGACTATCTCTATAATCACGCGGTGGCTCGGTTGTTGATGAGTGAGGCTCCCTGTAGTCCCGTGGTAGCTCAGCGGCTGCAATCCTGTTGTCTCGGTAATCTCTTAAATCCCTAGAGTCCCTTTGGTCTCGAGAGTCCCGCAATTCTCTTGATTCTCGAGGGTCCCTCGACAATTCAGCATCAACAGGTCTGTCCAACCTAGGCTTTGACGTCTCGGCAGCGTTCATAGCAGCCATCTGCTCTTTCAGAGCCTTGAGATCCGACGTGTTTGTGGGGTCAAATGCGATTGAGGGACGTCTCCTCTTAGTCTTGGAAATGGCCTCCTCATCCGATGATGCCTCACGAGGGGCCCCTCCTCTCGGGCCTTCGCCACCAAGTCTACCTTCAGCCTCCCGACGAAGGCGGTCACGGGTATCAGCTTCATCCTTAGGCTGAGGCACGGACGGACGAGTCTCGACGATCACGGTTGCGCGATCACGGGGGTCGCGAGACTCCTCGCGTGGCCTGTACCGGTCGTTTGGTTTAGAAGACAAGTCTTCATCCCGCCGGCGATCGCGGTCATCATCCGGGCTCCGGCGACGAGACGATTCTTGATCGTTCTTCTCAGGCAGCTTCCCATCCTTGTCCTTGTCCTTGCCCACAGCATGTTGGAGGCCTAGAGCTGTCGCAGCGATCCCAAGCCCAGTGCCGACCTTATCGCGAAGCCTGTTGCGATCTGGCTCTTCATCGTTGGCAGTACTTGTGCGTCGATCCCGATGCTCTTTGGGCTTGTCATAGATGACCGGCCGCCTGCTGTCCTCTTCGGAAGTTCTTCTCCCTTCACTGCTAGCATGCGGCTCCTTGCGCACATCACGGCGGTTATCGTAATCCGCGCCGGCTGTCGCAGCGTCGTTGCGAGCTGGTGCGGCAAGGGGTTCCGTCCTGATGCCGAAGCCACGCGCCGCGATACTTTCGTCGCGAAAGGAATCGGTATGGATGGTGCCATAGCCTTGATCAAGTTCTCGTTCGTGGTCGCGTGACAATTTCTGGGCACGGTCATCTTCTCTGCTTCGGTAATAATCTTCGTGATGGATAGAGCGTGGTGCACCCTCCTGATAAACCGAGACTGGCCGTCTGCGGGGCCCGCGAGACTCGGCATTAGAAACAGCACCGACTTCCGGTGAACCACCGGTACGACGTTCCTTTGGGCTGTCGGGGACTTGGAGTCGTTGTGGCGCGGCGGGGACCGTGGGCGGAACAGAGTCTTGAAGTGGCGGCGCCTCGTATGGAACCACAGTGGAGCTGCGAGTAATTTTGTCGAAGCCTCTGGTGCTGGGGGGAGGGCCCCCACGGTTGTCGTATCGCGTGGAACTGTTGTACGCCCAGCCGGCATCTGTGGACACGTTCACGTGAGGCCGGGAGTAGCTACGATCGAAGCTTTCCCGCCTTTGCGACCGGGTTGGGCGATCATGAGTGAGGTCGTAGCGAGCCAAGTCGCTGGGATTCGTGTACTCATAGCCCTCGCCCCCATAAGCTACATTTGTACCGCTGTGGCGTGGTGTATTGGAATATATGGCTGGCGTACGACTACGGTACGTATCATGCCTCGCGCTGAGGTTGTCGCCGGTCCGAAGGTGAGCAAACTCATCATGAGTGCCGTATGAGTTGCCACGAGCGTGACTTCGGGAACGTATGGAAGAGGCAGGTTGCGTGTAAAATGAAGAATCGCTTGTTCGGTAGTCGTCGCGAGTCGGGCTGCTGTGTCTACCACCGGAAGAGTGTGAGGGTTGATGGCCTTGCGGTCTCTGTGTTGTGGTGACGATGACAGGTCGAGGACTCGACGAATCAAGGGTTGAGGAGCGGCGGGAACGACTGGCTTCTCGCAAGTTAGGGCCGCGGGCCAGGGGATCTTTCGAGACGGCGTAGTGTGTGGTGGTAGTTGGGCTCGCGGCGGAGCGATGGCGATTCGAAGTTCCGGTGCTGTATCGGGTCGACGTTGGCATGACATGAATATCACCGCCATACATGGAACTATATCCTATACTGCTGGGCAGAGAGGCTCTTGCGGGGTTGAAGGTTGGCGAGCGTGGCCGAGCGTGGCCATAATGAGCAGTGTTTGGATAGCGGGGTTCCATGATGACGTCGAGAGCCAAAGTGTTTATGGCTCGTGGTGCTTCGGGTTGAAAGCAATCGACGGAGCGAATCTTCGACAGCAGGCGACGCTACAGACCGAGACGAACTCTGCGGCCGCGCGAGCGTTGTTTTAATTTTGAGACGGTTTGCGGGTTTTCGAGGCGGTATCGATCCACGTAAGGCTCGGTGAGTCGTTATGGTTTGGTGGCAGGCCACACTTGGGCTGCCTTACCGGGAAAGAAATCAGTGGCACGTAAAGATGGCTGTGGAATCAGTGAGGTAAGAGGGGTCAAATGGCGGGGGTTTGAGTCAGGCCTTGGCCAACTGATCGGGTCCAACAAATGTGTGCTCGGGAGGGTGGGGAACTGCAGTTTTACTGGGGTCGGGTACGAGTGGTGCTGGTGTCAGCTCCTCCACTCATCGGCAGATTGTTAAGAATCCAGAAGGGCGCCACCGAGAATGCCACCTTGCCTGCCTGGCTGATACTTGGTCAGCAACGTGAGGTCAATATTGTCCTGGAAAAGACCCATTCATTATACCTTAATCTGGTGGATAACGGGTCGAAGCGAGAGGGCAAGCCGTCGATCAGGCAAAGAACAGGGAAACAATATGTGTAGTGAGGGCTTCTCAGGTTGATGTGGTATCAATAGCGGGGCCACGGGGTGGTGATGACAGGGACAATGACCGGCTCCCGCGGCGTGTCTTTGACAATGACCAACGGGACTTAAACGGCGGAAAATAGGATGACAAGTCCGGATAGCAACGGGCCGGGTTTCCAGGACGATTTGGGGTGAATGTTTTCAACGTCGTCCCGAGGCGAACGGCGTGCTTGGTAGACGGACCGCAGCTGGTATCGATAGGCGGCCTGGAATTGTGGCTCGTGTCAGACCTCCACGTTCACCATTAAGCTCAGTTCGGTGACTGTAGGGTGGTATTGCGATGCGGCCTCTAGAAACGGCCACACCGTTTTGAGTAGAGGCCCGGCTATCGGCTGGCCCTGTGCGCTTGTGGGTATATGCAATGCGTCTGCAGCCAAGAGAGATGACGCGTGCGATTTGCGTGATGGAGATGACCACGGAGAAGCAGCGTGGTTCGGTTGGATGGGTTCGTGTCCAACAAAAGTAAAACGATACCGACAAGGCCCGGATCAGTATGAGCTCAGAAAACGCGAGCGGAGAGGCAGACGAGGAGAAATGTGAAATGTGGCAGAATTGGAGACGCTGGGTATTCGGGGGCAATGACGTGACACCGGGCCTGGTTGTTCGACAAAGATGGTAGCACGGGGGGGATCGACTGCCGTAGGGTCGGGGAGGCCGGGAATGGTCGATTGGGTTCAATATGTACCCAGGATCGCAAAGGGCGGCTTGTCCGCGCCCAGCTATGGTGGGAAAATTGAGCAAAGGCTGTGCGACCAGCAGTTCAGTCCGGGCCGGTTGTTTTATGCAGGGTGATGAGGACTGTGTGGTGTCGGCCAAGTAGTTGTAAACGTTGCCGTCGCGTGATTTAGTGCGGTGCTACACAGCGAAACCCGGCGTCTGTAGCGGGGAAGCGAGATAGCTGCCTGCTTTTGCTGCTGTGGAAGCAGCGGGGTTTCCAGGTATCAGAGAAGTGTCGAAGCACTGCTCGTGTGTGGCTACGACAATGGGTTGTGTAGGTAGGCGAGCAGGATTAGGGAGTGGCCATCCAGTAGCTCGATGCAACAACGCTTTTGGTCAACACAGTGACGTCTCGTCCCGAGCTCCAGATGTCTGTGTCTTTCTGATCCCACCAGCGTGGTGGCTCAGGATGCCAAGATGTGCTTTCTCTGGTTGATGATGATGATGAAAGATCGAATTCCAGGGTGCCAAGCCGGACCGATGATGCCCTCCCAGGATACGCTGGCTGAGTTTATACCGTGACGGAGGTGCCTTCGTTCTCGTATCGGTTCGTAACCGAGACGGGCTGCCTCTGGATCTTCGATTAGCCCCCCGACTTTCGGATCGAGCTTCTTGAATGCTGGGATGCTGATCTGTCTTGCTAACGAGACAGATGAGATGTGGAAAAGAATCCAGTTATTGCATGCCGATGAAATGAGACAGAGTATCAGGCGTGTGGCGTTGTTTCTGAATTATCGAGCTTCTTGACGCGCTCCAGAACCGTCGAGCCGCAGAGTTGAATGCTGTAGAACGCTTCGAGTCCAGCATTGAAGTTGTGGTTGTGGTCGAGGTTGAGGCAGGGCAGATGGAAGGAGTGACGAGGCCGGTGGTCACTTCCCATGTGAGATGAGGTGGAAAGGAAGTTCAACACCTGCCATTAAAGAGCGGCCACGACCCTTTTCTTCGTCCTTCGTCTGGTTCACCAGCTTCGCATCATCACAACCCGCTAATGCGAGCAAGGGTTCATGCCCATGCATGCTCTGTGAATCAATTACATTGCCATCTTCTTCAGTTGCCTGCCCTCAGAACCCACAGTGGCACGACGCCCTGTCGACCTGTCTCCCTGGTGTCCGAACAAACCCACCTAGCGACCACATCATGACATCCCTTTCCATGCCGATTCGATCGAGAGGCCAGGTCGAACCTGGGCGCTTCGAAGCCATTCCCAGCCCAGCTGGATGCATCGCGGACCAGGTCATGCTAATGGTCTTCGCGGCCCAGGGCCACGGCCGTCAAGCGCCTGACAAGCACCAGCCTTGGGCTGCAACGAGCACCCCATTTCGCAACCCAACGAAAACCCCACCCCCCTGTTACATGTCACACAGGAACGGTCGATATCAGCCCAAGCATTGGTCGTCGCCTGCGTTGGCCGAAGGAGATCTCTGCAACAGAGTCCATTCGACTTGATGCGTGAGATCCACGGAGGTGGCCTCGGAAAGATGCAGCTAGGCAAGTCAGGCCAGGCAACACAGTTCACGAATGGTCCAGAACCACAGTGCCCGACGATTTCCAATTATCGACGTTATACCTACGACATCCGCTCGTGATCCACAACTGCCGCCAAACTCGCTGTCGACCCTCAAAGTTTCACGGCATAGCCTCGAGCAGATCTCCCTGCCCAAGATTGCATGTATTGGCATGGAGAACAAACACCGCACGTTCGAGCCCGAAGACGCCCCTCACCGCTCCTCGCCGTCACAGCCAGCTGGCCACCCTTGAGTGTAACGGCAACGATCAGGCGGCGTGTCCAAGGAGACAGCTCCGTCCCGTCGACTGTCTGGTAAGCGGTCGACGAACAGGCACCACATCTCGTGCCAGATGGAGGGCTGGGGACCATAACTAGCCGACTGACTTTCCAGATACCTGATTACCCTGCCGCCACGTTGCGCTGTCGCCTATGGCCTCTTCGCAACCCGGGCTATCCCTCCCAGGAACGAAGCCGTCAAAAGCACATCCCCGCGCTGCCACGGAGACTCTGCGCCCGGCCGTGCCCCTGCGTTGCTTCACATTGTCTCCCAATTCCCAATCGTCCGTTGGGCAGGGACGGCCGTGCTTGCCACCGGAGCCCCGCCCGAGGGATCATCCCGGCCTGTTGCTTGAATTGGGAAGATGGCGGAGACCGCCGGGCCCAATATGTTGGCCATCGCATGTCGCTGTCAGGACGAATTACAAACGCCTTATCAGCTCGAGACCGATTGGACTCAGGCAATGAGATGATGAGGTGCGCTCGCCTGCCCACATATCTTGACGTTGTGCGTGAGCCTTTGGTGTACCGGGGGCTGCGGAGGGCATTGCGCTTGGCCCACCGTTGCTAGCTACGCTTGGAGGGTTCTTGCCTCTTTGCCTCTCGCTGCTACCCATCCAGTTCTTGACGATGGTTTTTTGGAAGTTGACTGGGGCTCGTACTAGTGACCCCTGTTCTCAGTTGGCCTGTCAACGACAATAGGAGCAGCTTGCTTGGGTTCAGTCCGATGTTTTGAGAAGTCCAACATCGAGGCACCTTATCCGGAAAATGATGGCTGGACAGAGAGCTTTGAGCTCCTTCTTGAATGGCGTCATTTTATTCGGATCCAAGCAGGGAACCTCGACTCAAGGCCTTCGTATCGAACTGCTTGAAGATGTAGACATGGCCGGTCCTTTACTGTATCAGATCACCGAGGCAAGTCTTCAACATGTAGCGGACGACAGACAAACCGATTTCCTCTTCAATTCTTTTTATGAGTAGGTATGGTCGGGCCTGGTCCAGTGATGCGACTCAACGACGAGAGCCCTCAAAGAAATCAATTTCAATATCTCATGCTTCATGCTGGCATAGGCTAAAACAAAAAACCACGTACGTACTGTCGATAACTTACCACACCAAATCGCAACTTGCTCCTGAAACATGTTGCCCCTCACGCCAGGCTGCCCATGGGATCCCACAGTGGCAACACGATCGGCTCCTGCTTGAGGACGTCCTTTGTTTCTTTGTCAAGGAAACGGGGATCGATGACGGCCTGGTAGACAAACTCGTCCATCCAGGCGTCGCTCATAACGAACCAGCCCTTGTCGCCGGCGGCCTCGCCCCAGCTGTTTTGGACGCGCCAACGGACGCTGCGGCCCGTCTTGTCATCGATGTGGACGGCCGTCAAGACCATGGCGTGGGTCATCTGTGACTCGCCCGTGCGCAGGCGATCGGCCTTAGACATTGCGAGGAGACTAACATCGAAGCCGACTTCGTAGTCGACGAGGTTGAGGTCCATGACACCGGAGCGCGAGGAGCTGAATTTGGCCCACATCAGAGCCGAAGAAGATGGGGAGGCCGGCGCGAAGCTGGCGCACGCAGGCTGCCTTGAGGGCAGAAATAGAGACGTTGACGTAGGTAACTGGGCGGCCGCCCACAATGTTGCCGAGGCGGTCGACGGTCAAGAGGGTCAAGGGATCGTGACGCGGGTCGTGTACGAGCGAGACCATGCCTGCAATGGTGGCGCTCGAGACGCGGCACTGACTCGAGGAGATGTCGCGTGCAAAGGCGCGCGGGGTCGATGTCAGCTCATGGGCCTTGCCGTCCTTGTCTTCGTAAGTCCAAACAAAGGCCTCGTGCGGGTGTGGCGGCGCGCCAAGTGTCAGGGTCAAGACTCCCAGGATGGACTGGAGCATCTTGGACTTGGCGTCCTTGACGCTTTGAGCAGTAGCGCTCTGCTCGTTGACAAGAGAGCGGAGGGTAAGGGCATACTCGCGCAACTTCGTCTTGAGCACGGAGTTGAGGACACCCGAATTCTGGGCATTCCACGAGTCCGGGTACAAGGACTGGGGCACGAGACCATACTTGTCGACGAGGTTGTAGACCATGTCCCATTGCCCGCCATCTGAAATGAGGTCACCGAGGAGGTGCTGCACGAGTCGAGAGTCGAGGTCATGATCGCCAGCCGTGGCAATGGCCTGCTCGAGGAACCAGTTGGCCTTCTCGAGCTTGTCCCAGAAAAACAGGTAGGACTGCGAGAGTTCGAAGCCCGCAAGGTTGTAGCGGCGGGCGAGGGCAACACGGAAAACATTCGTGGAGGCGAAGAGCCAACAGCGGCCGGAAGAGCGCTGGTTTGTTATCGGCGTTCCCTCGAGGGGGATGCGGACGTTGAATATTTGAGGGTCAGACAGCGTGGCGGGTGTAGATGTCAGGACGGTACGCGGGTCGGCATTGCTGAGGGCAGAAAGGGCCAACCTGGAGAAGAATTAGTCGGTGCATGGGAAGAGAATGAGCGAAGGAAGCAAGACGTGTCGCGGCAGTAAGCATTGCGAAGCGACATACCTGTTCTTGGGGTCCTTGAGAAAGGTGCTCTGCCAGTCTTCTACAAGCTTGACTGAGATACCCTCTGGTTCGCGATGGACAAGTCTGGAAAGAGCCTGCTTCTCGCTCTGCGACCCATCTTTTGATACATGGACAAAGTCGTTGGATGTGCTGCGGACCTGAAGACCTTCGAGGCGATCGACAAGGGCCTTATCGGCAGTGTCATGCGTCGAGAGGTGGGCTCCCATCGTAGGTCTTGGTCTTTCGAACAAGCAGCAAATTGACAGTGGTACAGGCCAGTCTTCAATCAGACCACACGCTCTCGAACGGCATGGACCCGATGACAGGAATCAACATCAGTTCAAGAAGGGGAGGCAGGGTGAGATCAAGGCAAGGAGCTCTTATCAGTCGTGAGGGGGAGGAGCACCTGAGCTCCTTAGTCTCCGCGCTAAACGAAGCAGGTGAGACAGGGATCAGCGCCTGCGGCTGGCCATCCAGGTGCCGCAGGCACCATGCCACGCAAGCCGGCTTTCGTTACCAGCCATACACCAATCCCATCATGTCACGCCATCGCCCTTCGGGATTTGTAGATACGGACACCAGGTCAATTACAGACATGTACACTAATGCCTAACACCAGAGACGCGGCGGTCCCTGGTGCCGAGTTTATCTCCAATCTTCAAAAAGTCCCAATTTGCTACTCCTCAATCCAGCTCCACCCAGATACATACAGCACAGCAAGCATCGAGATGCCGCTTACAGGCGAGAGCCGTGAATCGTCTTCATGTCGACGGCGAGCTCACGGCCGCGGTCGTTGAGAACGAGAACGCGGACAGAGCCACGGCCGGACTCGAAGGCAGTGTTGAGGCGGGACCAGAGGTTGGACTGGTCAATGACGGGGAGGTCAGGCTTGACGTCACCAGTCTCGGTCATGGCGACGATGCGGCCATCGTGCATGTCAAGGACACGGTACTGCTTGAAGACGGGGCCGAGCATGGTCTGGACGACGACGCTGGGCTCAGGGTTGGAGATGTACGACGACTCCTCGTGCAGCTGCTTGGTGAAGAGGTCGACACCAAGGTAGCGGTACTGGCCGGTGGCAGCCGAGGTCGAGATGCGGATCACCCTGGCAGGGGCGGCCCTGAAGCATCAGGAAGTCGCCCCATGCGGATGTGGTTGCAGGGAATCGACACCGTGTTGGGCAGGCAGGGGCCCTGGTTGCCGCCGCTGGGGCGGGGACGGGAAGGCTGGCGGACATCGTTGTCGGCGTGGACGTGCTCATCACGGCCTTTGGGTTGGACGAGTCGGTCAGCGCACCTGTACAGGCCCTGACGGAAGGAGTGATAGTGGCCTGGATAAATAGGAAAATAACAAACGCAACTCAGCTGGAGTGCTTATGGGGGAGGATAGGGGACTTGCGGGCCAGGGCAGGACGGTAAGAAAGCAGGGAAGGGGGGGACTAGGTGAGAAAGTTTCAGCGGATCAACAGGGGCTATTGGCTTACCATCGTCATCGTAGTAACCCATCTTGGCTTTGGTTTCGCGGATGCGGCGAGCAGCTCCTTCGACGGTGTACTTAACCTTCTCGCGGGCGGTCTCGCGGAAGCTGGGGCGGTGAGTACGGGCGGGTTCGACCGTGTACTCGGCGTTGATGATGCGGCCGGGGCGGTCGCAGTTGTTTACTTCCTCACGGGTGTTACGGGGCTGGCAACGTTCACGGTACTCGCGTTCGATGCAGTCAAGAGGGGTATCGTAGTGCTGGTGCGTACGGTCGACCTCAACGTAGCTCTCAGAGAAGTCGTGGCGCTGAGGACTGATGATGCAATGCGTCAGTCTGTGGAGGTCCCAATCGTTGATGAATGGAGATGGTGAATTGGGTTTGATGGATGAAGAGGGTGTAGGTGAAGTGATGTAAGGTAGCTAAAGGTGATGAAGCTCCAGCTCGATGGGAAATTCTTCTTCACCGATTGTTTTGTCACTCGGACAACTGGGCTAGTAGGGGGTAACGAGGTAGGGGTGGTTGGTTGGGTTTGTTTTGGGTCCGGGGTGTGTCTGGCCAGGCGTCGTGGGTGATCCACCAGTTGCAAACCGAAGAAGCAAGCAATTTCGCCAGCACACCCCACGGACCGCCCAAGCCACCCGCCCACCGCTGAGGGGAGAAGATGAAGGGGTTGCGTGGAAATACGAGCTGAAGCGCCTGTTGGTTCTCTCCGCCCACTTTGTGCCCACAGTGGCCGCAAACAGGGTGGGAGAGTCCCGTTGTCCGGTTGACCACGGGGGAAGGGGAGGTGAAGCGAAAAAAGAGCCATGTACGATAGAAACAGAATGAATGTTTGTTTTCTTGGTACTTACCGGTGCTCCTCGTGGTAGCGAGTCTCCTGGTGCTGAACGCCCGGACGGTGGAAGTGCTCCTCGATGCGGACCTCTTCGGTGTAGCGCTGAGGCTGTTGCTGCTGCTGTTGCTGCTGCTGCTCACGACGAGGCGGGAGCTGGGCGGTCGCAGTGAAGGACGAGTATTGCTGAGCCTCCTCCCGTCCGGGGGCTTGCGGCTGCTGCTGGGTCGGGGGGAGCTGGATCTCGAGCTCCTGGTGAGTCTCGGTGGTGGTGGTTGTCTGGGTCTCGCCTTCCTTGTAGGTGGAAGGGAAGATGCTGAAGGGGACGGGGACGCGGGCTTCAAAGTCCAGGGTGGCGGCTCTGGAGCGCAACGAAGAACAATTCCTCTTTCAGCGACCTTCCGATGCTCTGTGGCACGAAAGGATCAGGGCCAAAAGAAGAAGTAGTTCCTCTTGCTTTGTTTCCTGGAAAACAAAGTAGAAGGGGAAAGGGCGGGAAGAAGCCGGGCTTGATGGCACCACGCGCTTCTTGTACTGGCTTTCACACTTCTGCTCTGTAGAGGCGGGAAACGGTTGGTTGGAGGCTGCGAGGCGAGGCGGTCTGGTGTGTCTGGCTTGAGATCGATGAGGGGAGGGGAGGGGGAGAGAGGAGGAGGATGGGAGCTGCGAGACTGGCGACGCGGATTGGGTTTTGTGGACGGGGCTCTGCACTGTTGCGTGGCAGGAGGTTGCCGCGGCAGGGTGTGCGTCGAACACAGAGCGATCAACAAGGAGTCGAGCCTGAGAACAGGTTGATCAGGGGGTTGGTCCCCGGCCTTCTGTGAGCTCAGCTGGGACATCTGGGCGGATGGGGTGCTGTGGTCCTGTCGATTTGTTTACTCGACCTTGAACGGGGATAGCGTTGTGCGATGCAGGTCCCCCCTGACTGAGCCCACTCACCCTCCATCTCGCCTGTCCGCTTCCGTTTCCGCTTCGTAAAGACCCCGTTCTTCTGCAGTAGCCCAGCGCGTGCAGGACGCGTCGAGGTTCTTGGCTCCTTCTTGCTTGTGAAAGTTGGCTCGGCGTTGATTTGATCTGTCGTTGTAGAAGTGCCCCAGCTTCATTTCCCCTTCATCCCGTGATCGGGCCTCGGCTGCTGAAGAAGGCCAGCGCGCTCTGCTCGGATCCCTCCTCGACTGATTCCCGGGGGCTAATGGTCCCGACAAGTGCGTTCGTGAATTGAATCTCATCCTTTGTCTGTTGCCCCCGCCCGCCCGCGCTGTTTCTCTCTCTTTCTCTCTTATCCCATGCGCATGGCACCCGGGACAATTAGTGGCTGGGTGTAGCATGCTTGGGGGGCCACTCATCTCTCGCCAACCAGCGGCCAGTGAGGAGCTCAGACACACGCCACGGGTGCCGTGCACAAGCTGAAGCTTCGTATTATGCACGCCTCGGCGAAGCATAAAACATGCGTAGATCAGCGGCCGAGTTGCCCAGTGACCAACGACGAACGTCGACCAGCAAAAACCAGGCCGCCATGCAGGCTACTGCATCTCGAGGTGGCCGAACTGGGGAGTGCCGATCAGTAGAGCCCCAACCTCCTCGCTGCACGATACGGCAGACGAAGGGGCCATTCGGGCGGCTGGGCTACTCGACTGGCGGTCGTGTGAGGACTCGATTGGCGGTCAGCTAAGCCATGACTTGGATGTCCAGGTTGGGGAAGCACAAACCGTTCCGGCCTGACCGAATCAGAGTGTGATTTGCTTGCTTCTTTTTTGCTCACGGAGACTTGTCGCCTTCCATCGTGGGTATCATATGTCAGATAAGTGGAGAGCTTACTGACACGGGAGCGAAATCGTAGGGCGTGCGATTGGGCGGTCGGGATTCTCTAGTGAGAAGTGTTGTCGGGCTGGAGCTGGGGCGACGCGAACGTAGGGCGCCCGATGGGAAATGTTGTGAAGAAACCGCTTCGTTGCGTACCGGACATTTAAGGTGCGTTATGATGCGTGCCCTGTGATCAATTGGACGACCCTGAATAAGCCCAACTGGATTGGAAGCATGTTTCGTCCTCGGAAGGGGGAAAAGGAGCAGGTCACAGCTGGTGAAGAAAAGGTCCTGTCCCTGGACATCGATTGTCTTTTAGTACAGCTCGCTTGCTGGTAATGGCAGCTACGTTCAACAATGTGACGCGCCTCTTACCCCACCTCGCCTCATGCCAAATCGTTTGGCATGTAAATGGTACCACTTGCCACCAGCAGAATTCCGACGACTCGAAGGAAGGGAGGAGTGAGCTTCATCCCCCTTTCCACCTGCCCAGTCGGTCATTATTGGGTCGTTCTTACTCACGGCTCAACACATCACGTGCTCCGCTCGTGGAAGCCCATTCCGCGGGAAGAGCCATCTCATCCTTCTTCATCACTAGCGAGACAACCTCCTGAGAGCGTCACACGAAGCTCCCTTCAGCGAAGACTCTAGTCCACGACTAAGATATGTTGAACGCCACTGAGACAAGGGTCCTGGTGGAAGGCAACGACGTGATCGTCCGCTGGGTTCTCATCGGGTGATTTGGATGACTTCTGAATTCCGAACACTTTATTGCCAAGCTTACTTCGCATGCCATGCTACCTTCCAGAGCTGCATACCAGCATAACCCGAACAACCAGGACCTGAAAATCCGAAACGCAAACGCTAGCAACCGGTCTATCGACAAAGGAGAAGAAATCAAAAAAAGTGGACGAAGCCATTTACAAATATCCCGTAACCCCTGCGCCATGCACCACGCATTCCCCGACTATATCCACCGCTGGCATGCTTGAGGCGATGTCACACGTGCCGAAAAGCTTGGATTAAGCTTGGGCTATTCATCTCTGAATGCTGTGAAGCAATCCTCTATTTCGCCTGGTTGCTTGTGTATTGCTGGTTGTTGTAATACGTAGGGTTGGCCTCGTACGAAGGGCTAGTCTCATATTGTGGGCTGCTGTCGTACTGAGGGTTGTTGTGCTGCCTGTGGGTCTTGTGCTGATGCGAGGAGCTCTTGTGCTGATGCGAGGAGCTCTTACGGTGTGATGGGCTCTTCGGGTGCTGGTTGCTGTTGCTGCGCGAATGGCTGTTGCGATGCGACTGACGGCTGTTGCGCTGCACAGGGTTGCTCTGGAATGGCACGCCGCTCTCGCTTCCGCCTCGCAGGGAAACGTCGTCACGGCGGACGCCGTTGGCGCGGAAGAAGCGGAAGTCCAAGACGGAGATGACGGCTACCCATGACGAAAGGATGCTGTGCAGAGAAAACGGCCACTGTCAGCGGCAGCTCGAGAAGATCCTACAGACAAGCGAGGCGGGGCGCAACCTACGAAATGACAATCGCAACACCAAAGACGATCCAGTTCAAGATACAGCCGGTTCCCTCACATCTCTGGAGGTTTCCTTGCATGACAAGGAAGATAACAGCACCCCAGAAAACGATCTCGAGGCAGTTGAGAATGGCAAAAGCCTTGAGGCTCGACCACCTTCGGAAACGCGCAATATGTTCCGTGGCCAGCTGATAGAATATGATAATCAAGGATTTGGCGCCCTATGATGTCGCGCTGTCAGTTCATGGTCCGCCTCTCCCGATAAGTCGGTGCCAGCATACCATGCCAAGGGCTATTGTGTTACCCCTGCCCCGGGGCTGGTTTTTCATGAAGACACGCGCGCCTGCAAGACCCAGGACAATATGGATGAGGACAAGCTGGACGATGTGAAGGCGAAACTTGTACCGGCTGGCGAAGAAGCCGCTGTTGGCGAAAGAGGCCATGATATCTTCGGGGTCGAACCGTATGTCTTGCGGAGAAGGGAAGTTGTCGAGTCAATCAATGGCAGAGCAGTCTGGCTACCGAAAGAGTGAGGCAAGGACGGGGAGGCGGTATGGAAAGGCTGGAATTAGGTACTTGATGTAAGTTGATGTTGATGATGGATGTTTGGCATGCTGACACTAGGAGTCTTTCTTCCTCCACGACTTGGGCATGTCGTGGTTTTATCATCTTCAGGGGAGGTCAGGGCAGTCCACCCCAGACTAACTCCCTTGCTCAGATAATTCAACTCAATCTACGCAATCTTCACCAACAGAAAGTGCCTACCCGATGCACTGGAACGATATTCGAGAAGCACACTATCATGCCTTACGACGAGCCCTCGGTTTCGCTTTGGGCGTTGATTTGCCGTGGGCGAGACAGTGGACCCAGATGGATTAGGTGAGCTCCAGAATGAGCGTCTGCCTGTTACCTATTGGGAGGCTAAAGAGCCGCAGCATACAGCTTGAATCCAAATCAGGTTAAGGGTCCCTTTGGCGGAGCTGGCATAACCACCCCAAGATGCCACTGATGGACTAACTGTCTCGTTGGGTTGCGTATCCCAGCTAAGGTTTTGGGGGTTTAGGTAGGCCTAGACACGACAGACAGCCCTTGTCTCACTCAGTGCTGTCACTCATCTCGTCGTCCACAACTGCTCATTCCAGGAACCTTGTTCGGGTTGTAAAGTCGACCCGTCAAAACTCCACTCCGCGCGATGAGGTGTCGGTCCTCGGAACCTCTCCAAGTCTGCCGGCGACTCTGCCTTGCATTTGAAAGCCGTCGCTAGAACAAGGATTCAAGAACATGCTACCTCAGACGTCAGACCACAGACGGTGCACCGCAGACTGCAAATGCCTGACGCCCGTCAGGCCAGAGCTCACACTCTCCCTACTCAGCCATTGGAATACAGTAGAGCACGGTCCGGCAGAATCCGTGTCCCTGTTCCAGCACATCGCCGGAAGCGCCTACGTACCTTGCCATGACTCGTGTCCTCACGCAAGGCGGACTTGCTGGCTTGCTCTCTAGTTTCAAGGCACATACTTCTTTGCTGGCTCTCGCCCTCGTCTTTGCCCTTGTCCTCGCTTTCGCCCTGACAGGGCGCCAATTCTCTTCAAAGCCTTTCTTCGCACCCTTTGGCCTAGTAGCCGAATGCATGCACGCCGCCGACAAGCCGGATGATCCGATCGGTCTTTTCGCTCGAGCTGAACAACGAGACGCTCAGTCATCCTCAGGACAAGGATCGCCTGCGCGACCCAGCATCAACCCGTCTGTGACACACGACACTGTGCGGCGCGTCCTGATTCATTTACCCCCTCCAGATATAACCCTGTGGCAGGAGGCGATCGACCGCCCAAACTGATCCACCCATTTCTTCGGCACTTGGGTTCGCGGCGTGCCGTCTCGTCCTCCACCCAACTCACCCAACCCCGACCATTCATATCCATTACTCGCCCCCTTCCCCCACACTCGCTTTCGCTTTCCGCAGCCTTGCCACGTCCACATCGACCTCGCTTTGAGTGAGGCACAGCGATTCCGTCACTGTAGCTGAGCCACCCGCAAACTCGGAACGCCTTTCAAGATCCAGATCCAGATCATCGTGCGGCTCAGCGTTTTCGGTCTCGGTCTCGCAGTTAAGGGCCCGCGATTCACCGTTTCCTTCCCGGCTTACACGGTGTCCAGCCGTGTCCAGACCCGTGGCCATGCCGCCGCGTCTGGGTTACAAGAAGTCTCGCGGTGGCTGTGCCCGATGCAAGCGCCGCCGTGTCAAAGTATGCAGCACCTTTCCTCTTCTCCGACCGGGTGGCCGGCCGGGCTGGGCATGGGCATGCATGCGGTGTCATGCAGCGCGCTGAGATGTGCCCTGCCCTCTCCAAATGCCGCCGGCGCCGCCATCATCGTGTGCTACGTTTGCTGTGCGAATTGATTCACTAACTTTGGTTCAGTGCGACGAGAAGAGGCCTTGCACCGCGTGCGTGAGGCATGGCACCGAGTGTAGCCTTGTCCAGGGACCGCCGTCGGCTGCAACATCACCCGACGAGCAGCAACATGCATCACCACCAGGGGACATGGGTCTGAGCACTGTTCGGAGCAGCAGCAATGGCAGCTTTGACCGTCCAGTGCCAGGGCCAGCAGCGATGCTCCGACGGGACCTGTCCGCCTCTGGTTCGCAGCAAACACGCCCCATTTCGTCGTCGACGCCCCTCTCGACGCCCGACCGTGATCCGTACGCCGTCGTGCCCATCGGGACGTGGTATACCGACCTCGAGCTCATGCACCACTACTCCACCAGTGCCTATCTCACCCTGCCGCGGTCTGCAGACCTTCAGCACGTCTGGCAGCTTGAGATCCCCAAGATCGCCCTCACTCACGTGTTCCTTTCTTCATCAGGTCCTCGCCTTTTCGGCGTTGCATCTCGCCACCCTGCGACCAGAGCGTCGCGCCGCGTACGCATTGACGGCCTCGCAGCATCAGACCGATGCCGGTGGCCGGCATGCGTGCGGCTCTCCCACGCATCACGGCTGCCAAATGCGACCCCCTATTCGCTGCGTCGTCCGCTCCTCCTCCTTAAGCGCCTACGCTATGTTTCCGCATCAGCAGCAGTGCTCGAGTCCCGATCAGCCGCTGCCGTCCCCGACGGTCGACAACATTCTCGACGTGTTCCTCCTCATCCGCGGCATGAGCGAGATTCTCGACGCGTCCGAGCTACTGATCCGCCGCGGCACGCTTGGCCACCTGTTCGCCCAAGAGACGGCACCGCCGACATCAACGCCGCTTCTCGACTCGGTAGCAGCACGCCTGACGACCTTCAACGCAGCTATCGATCCCACCAACATTATCGTCGCACGCGAACTCGAGGGCCTGATCAGCTGGATACACCGTGCAACGGCTACCACGGCGATGCCGGAGAATCGCATCGCGTTGACATGGCCCATTGACCTGTCGGGCGACTACATCTCTCTACTGCGGCAGCGAGACCCTGCGGCCTTGTCGCTTCTCGCATACTACTGCGTCATCGTCTCGGCTGTCGAGCCGACGACCTGGTACATGCAGGGATGGGGACGCAATGCCCTGTGCTCTATCGAAGAGTGCCTGTCGCCGGCTTGGAAGGAGCTGATTGAGTGGCCTCTCTTGTTTGCCACTGGTCGGGAGACCTCGTAAGCGGTTGGAGATTCGGGAGGTGACGCTTTGTAAGATATGAGAGAGAGAGAGAGAGAGAGAGAGAGCCGCGCTGGGCATCACCACACGCTGAGCATATCAAAGCGGATGGAGGTGTGTGGTGAAGCGCGTGTACCATGCATACGAAAAGCGACAGGCGGACGGCGTATCGGAATTTGGTCGGGCTTGTCTACACGTTTTAGACGGAGGCATAACGTTTGATGGGGAACAAGTTGTATTGTTGGTCAATGATATCACGCGTACGATATACCCTGCCAGAAGTCGAAGTCATGCCAGCCATATAGCCTACCATGTAAGCTTATATCCACAGGGGCATGCTTAAGGTCAAACTCGAGAGCCTAACGACGTTTTTATTGGGTGCCGCCCCAATAGCCAAAATGGTGACACTGTGAGGGACTCGGCATGAAGACGACGATGGTAGGTAGGCAAGTAGGTACCTAGGTCCTCCGGTACTTCAGCCTGATGTGTACGGACCCTTACGTCATGCAGTTGAGCCACCCAGCCTTTTCCCCAATAAGCCACAAATGCCCCGCGGCCGCCACACTGTTGCACCTTTGGCAGCATCATCGGCACCACCAATGTGCCCCTCGTCTCTCTGCTGCATCATCAAGTGAGCACCAGACTTGTATTGTCGTTTAGCCACGAGCCCAGAACCTCGCATCTCGATCATGAAGCAGAGATTCTCGTCCCTTGACGTCAAGGTACGCTGTCCGCACCCACCGAACGGCTGGCTACACCACCGAACGGCTGGCTGCATCATCGTATCGCTAACCAACGCGCTCCGCCCCAGGTCATCGCCCACGAGCTCCACGAAAGTCTCGTCACGCTTCGACTGGCCAACGTCTACGACCTGTCCTCCAAGATCCTACTTCTGAAGTTTGCGAAGCCCGACAATAAGAAGCAGATTCTCATCGACTCGGGCTTCCGCTGCCACCTAACCGACTTTGCGCGCACCACCGCTGCTGCCCCTTCCGCCTTTGTGGCGCGTTTGCGCAAGTTCCTCAAGACAAGACGCTTGACGGCCGTGTCACAAGTCGGAACCGACAGAATAATCGAGTTTACATTCAGCGATGGGCAGTACCGACTCTTCCTCGAGTTTTTCGCCAGCGGCAACGTCATCCTGACCGACGCCGAGCTCCGCATCTTGACCCTGCTGCGGAACGTTCCCGAGGGCGAGGGCCAGGAACCCCAGCGCGTCGGACTCAGCTACTCCCTCGACAACAGGCAAAACTTTGGCGGCGTCCCGCCCCTGACGAGAGAGAGGCTGCAGAATGCACTGAGGGTCATGGCGGCCAAGGCCGCCAACGCGCCGACGACTGGGAAGAAGAAGATCAAGCCAGGCGACCAGCTCAGGAAGGGCCTCGCCACGACCATTACTGAACTGCCTCCGATGCTCGTCGACCACGCGTTCCAGGTCACTGGATTTGACCCGACAAAGACGCCGGCCGAGCTCCTCGACAGCGACGCTCTGCTCGACAGTCTGCTGCATGCCCTGACTGTCGCCAGAAAGGTCGTCGAAGACGCCACGAGCTCGGCCACGACGACGGGCTATGTCATTGCGAAATACAGGCAAAAGAGCGAGGAGACGGAAGAAAAGCCGGACGACGGTGCCGAGACGAAGCGTGAAGATCTTCTCTACGACGATTTTCACCCGTTTCTGCCGCAAAAGTTTGCCGACGACCCTTCCGTCAAGGTCCTCACGTTTGACGGCTTCAACAAGACGGTGGACGAGTTCTTCTTCCTCGCTCGAGGGCCAGAAACTCGAGTCCAGGCTCACCGAGCGCGAGGCCGCCGCCAAGAAGAAGCTCGAAGCGACGCGCCAGGACCACGCCCAGCGCATTGAAGGTCTGCAGGAGGCCCAGTCGCTGAACGAGCAAAAGGCCGCCGCCATCGAGGCCAACGTCGAGCGCGTGCAGGAGGCCATGGATGCCGTCAACGGTCTCGTCCAGCAGGGCATGGACTGGGTCAACATCGGCAAGCTCATCGAGCGGGAGCAGAAGCGGCACAACCCTGTGGCCGAACCATCAAGCTGCCGCTCAAGCTCGGCGAGAACCTCATGACGCTTCTGCTCGGCACGGAGGCTGTCGAGGACGAGGACGAGGCCTACGAGACCGGATCGGACGCATCCGACAGTGAGGATGACGAAGACGGTGCCAAGGCCAAGGGTGCCGACCGGCGGCTGCAGATCGAGATCAATCTCGGCCTGTCGCCTTGGGCCAACGCGCGAGAGTACTACGACCAGCGGCGGACGGCCGCCGTCAAGGAGCTGAAGACGGTGCAGCATTCGACCATGGCGCTGAAGAATGCCGAGAAGAAGATCACGGAAGATCTGAAAAAGGGGCTCAAGCAGGAGAAGGCGGTTCTGCAGCCGATACGGAAGCAGATGTGGTTCGAAAAGTTCATCTGGTTCCTCTCGTCCGACGGCTACCTGGTGCTCGGCGGCAAGGATGCCCAACAGAACGAGACGCTGTACAAGCGGTACCTGCGTAAGGGCGACGTGTACTGCCACGCCGACATGCACGGCGCCGCGACGGTCATTGTCAAGAACAAGCAGGACACGCCGGACGCGCCGATCCCGCCGTCGACGCTGGCGCAGGCCGGCATGCTGTCGGTCTGCAGCTCGAGCGCGTGGGACTCCAAGGCCGGCATGGGCGCCTGGTGGGTCAGGGCCGACCAGGTGTCCAAGTCGGCGCCAACGGGGGAGTACCTGCCCGCGGCAGCTTTCATGGGTGCGGGGCCAGGAAGGAACTTCCTGCCCCCCGGCCGCCCGCTGGGTGCTGGGGCCTTCGGCATTCATGTTTCAGGATCAGTTGAGGGAGAGGCAAGGCCAAAGCACGTTGAAGGCACAGGCTTGCGGGGGCGGATGAAGAGCCCCGGGCGGGTTGCCGTTCGGGGGGTTACGAAACTTGCTTCCCCGACAGCCCGGCTGGACCGTTGGTTTAATGGGCGATGAGAACCGAGGAGGGACGAGGACCGAAAGATGAAGCGTGAGGACCGAGGCCTTGAACGACAACCCAAGAAAAATGATGCGCGCGAACAACCCCGCCTGGCAGGGGCTGCAGGGGACCAACAGCGCTTGATGGCGGATGGACTACACCACAGATGGCGAGCGACAGGAGCAGCAGCTGGAGGAGGATGACGAGGAGAAGCAAAAGGAAAAGGAAGCGGCGCCAGTCGAGCAGATGAAGGACTTGCAGGTATCTTCCAAGGCCGAAGAACCCGCAGAGACCAACCCACAAGACGAAGACGAAGGAGGCGACTCCGAAGCGGCCGAGGACGACGCGCCACCACAGGGCAGCGCGCAGACGACGACGGCGGCGTCGAAGCAGCCCGCACCGCCAAGACGGCACCGGCCAAGCGAGGCAAGAAGGGCAAGGCCAAGAAGATGGCGGCCAAGTACAAGTACCAAGACGAGGACGATCGCGCAGCGGCCGAGGCGCTGATCGGAGCGGCGGCCGGGCGCCAGAAGGCCGAGGCCGAGGCCAAGGCGCGGGCGGAACGGGAGGCGCAGGCGGCGGCGCAGAAGGAGCGGCGGCGGGCGCAGCACCAGAAGCAGCAGAAGGCGACGGCCGAGCACCAGGAGATCCGGCGGCTGATGCACGAGGAGGGCGTCGAGCTGCTCGAGGCGGACGAGGCGGAAAAGGTGACGGCGCTCGACGGGCTCGTGGGCACGCCGCTCGTCGGGGACGAGATCGTCGAGGCGATCCCCGTGTGCGCGCCGTGGAACGCGCTCGGGCGGTTCAAGTACAAGGTCAAGTTCCAGCCGGGGCCGGTCAAGAAGGGCAAGGCGGTCAAGGAGGTGCTCGAGCGGTGGAAGCTCGTGGCGACGAAGAAGGGCGTCGTTGACGAGCGGGCGCAGGACTCGGAGCGCATGTGGCCGCGCGAGGTGGAGCTCATCAAGGCGTTCAAGCCCGAGGAGGTCATCAACTCGGTGCCCGTGGGCAAGCTCAAGGTCATGATGGGCGCTGGCGGCGGCGGCGGCGGCGGCAGCGGTGGCGGCGGAGGAAAGGGGTCATCAGGCAAGGGGGGCAGAGGCGGCAAGGGATCGAAGAGGAAGTAGAGAGTAGAGGGTAGACATGTCGATGTTGTATAGACGTACAGAGCCCGCTGTCCGCTACAGAAGCAGAGCCGTGGCTCACGCCACGAGATGATCCAGATCACGAAGACGACGACACATCCTTGTCCGTTGCGAATGCCCTCAGCACGTCAGCTTTTTGGTCCTCGCTCGTCCACGCGAGCTTGCGTTCCCCGACGTGATCTACCCTAACGTCCTCCTCCGTCGCCCAGACGTGGTCCTGGTGCTCTTCGGGATCCAGCCGGACCTGGGGCGGTGCCTGCGCGCCCCCTCCCTCCACCTCGACGAGAAACGAATGCTTGACCCACGGCCTCCCGTGATCGAGCCACGCGTAGCTCCCGAGGAGCGAGGCGACGTGGCGCGCGCGCAGACCCGTCTCCTCGTACAGCTCGCGCGCGGCGCCGGCGGCGAGGGAGGCGTCGTGGACCAGGTCGGCGCTGCCGCCGGGCAGCTCCCAGCGGTTGGGGAGGAACTCGTGGGCGCTGCGCTGGACGAGCAGGATGCGCGGGCTGGCGCTGCCGTCGCGGTGGAGGACGGCGGCTCCGACGACGAGACGTGGCGATGGCGGGGAGGAGGACCGGGACAGAGGTGTCGTGTAGATGGACGGCAGCGAGGCGTCTGTCGTGAAGGCGAGGGGTGGGTTTGGGGGCGGAGGCGGCATTGTGGGCTTTGGAGGTTGGCTCGTCTTGTTGTTTGGATGGTATGCTGGTTTGGTTTTGGTGTGTGATTGTATGACGAAGATGGGATTCATGTGAGCGATGGTCAATGTGAGAGATGAGACGGGTTGATGTAGGTTCACCAAGAGGTTGCCTAATGAAGAAACACCAGGTTTGTCGGCTGGTGATCGACTGGTGCCTGGCCACGAAACGAGACACGGGCGGTGAGGAGGGGCATGAGGTAGGCAGCCATTTTCGAAGGAGCACTCATACTAATGACAACACAGACTATGCATTTGCTGTTCTATATACGCCCTGTACCATTCATTCATTCATTCATTTACTCGTTCACCAGCTCTTCTTCTCGGTCGTGTTCACATCATCAGGAGGAACGCCAGCAGCATCTCTCGATCGGATCTGGACAGAATCGAACCCCCCCTCGTTGCCGGCTGCGCCCACCCACGGCCGCAGATTCAGGCTCGCCTTGTAGCTCGACGCGTTTTCCAACGTCAGCTGCCCTTCAGCGAACAGGTCCCATGGATCGGCCAGGAACAGAATCTTGGGCTCCCTGCGCAGCTCGGAAACGTGCACCAGGATCGAGACGTGCTTCATCGGTGCCGGCAGGCTGGACTCGACCTTGCTGTGAATGGAAAACTGACGGGCCTGAGCGCCACGATTAGCAGATAGTCCACGGGCAGGGGAGGTCGAACTCCAAAGACGAATGCTGTCGGGACCTGTGCTTACCCGGTTGAGCTCGTCCTGCGATATCTTGAAGTGATTCGTCTGCGGCTTGTCTGTCGCCTTGACGTCGATGTGGTAGACGAAGCGGTTGAAGCCCTGGCCCTTGCCGGAGGTCCCGTCGAGGCGCATCAGGAACGCGCTGAACCGTCCCTGCGCGTCTGTGAAGTTGAAGGCGGCCTCTTCCGCCTTTCTCTTGGAGCGCGACGTCCACATGGTGCCTGCGTCGTACTGAGGGCCCAGAACCGCCGTGAGAATGTCGGCGACCTTGAACGGGAGAGTCAGTCAGCTGCGGCCTTGTTTTGGGCGTGCGATGAACTGGATCGAGACGATAAAGAAGAAGGGCAGGGGAAACAAGACTCACGAATAGCTCTCCAAGGTCACTGTCGCGCTGGGCAAACGTCTTGACCCGATCCAGGAAGCCCGGCGGTGCGACTGGCGCACCGATGACGGTTCCCTCCTTCTGGTGGAAATTCAGCTCCCTCAAGGCGCCTCGCAGGAACGGCAGCGTGTAAGCGCCTGGAATTGTCCGTCTTTCTGTCGCTCCGGCGCCGGCAGCGCTCCCCGTAGACCTGGCTATCGCCGCTGTGTACGACGGCAGAGACTCGCCAGAGTTGTTCGGCTGGCCGTAAAACGCGGCACTGAACCGACTATTGCCCAGGAGACGCGAGAACCGCGAAGCTTCGCCGCTACTGCTGCCGGCGCGAGGCCCTGTCGTGACAGGAACGACGCCCACCCCGGGAATATAGTTGTTGCCCGTCTTGGCCCTAGAATCGGCGCCGCTCTGCGTCTCAGCGTCACCATCCTCATGGTCGTCATCGTCAGGTATCGACGGCAGGACACCCCTGCTATCGAATATCTGCTCGACCCGATCGACTTCCGCCGTCAGCACGACGCTCACCAGATCTCGATGTTCGATGTCAATGCTGAAGAAGCTCCGCAGCTGCTCCGACAGCTCGCAGGGGTAGGCCTCCGTCTCGTAGCCCTTGCGCAGGTAGATCCGCAGGTCCCCGGCATAGTCGCACTCGAGAAACGCCGCGCCCGTCGCCAGCGTACTGCGGACCTGCGTGAACCCGAGTGGCGCTGTCCAGTACTGCGAGATCTCCGACGCCACGTACACGTCAATGCTGCGGAACTTGTCGCGCACTTGCTCCTGGTTTGGCTGGTCCTCGGGCATCAGTCTGTTCGCGGCACGTCATCTGTGGTCTCACCTGGCCTCGTGAACACGCAGGCACCAGGCCGCGAGGGGCCTCGGCACGGGTTTTGGGCAACATACCTGAAGAAGAGAGAACTCCTTGACCGGTACTTCTCCGTCAGCTCTTTGTTGATCACAGCCTCCCCGCGGGCCTCCGTCACGCTCGAGGCCAGCTTGCTGAGGCACCGGTCGCCCAGGCCCAGGGCCAGGAGGAACTTGCGGATCTTCAGCACAAACCGGACGCTGAACGCCAGCATGGGCAAGAGGTGCTGGAACTGTGTCTTGAACACCTCTCGGTCCGCGATCAGCCACGGTTTCTTGCTGTTGATCGAAGACAGGGACTGGTAGGTGCCGTCAGCGGGGCCGGTCGAGATGGGAAAGATGGCCATGGCCGCGAGCTCTTTCTTCTGCGGCACCGTAATATGGTAGTCGGAATGGATCGCCAAGGCGGAGAGGATCTTCTCGATGTAGGGAATCGTGTTGTCCCCCCTCTCGCTGATGCGTTTGGCCTCCTTGATGATGTGCTCGACCCCGACGTCTGGGATCATGAGGCAGTTCCGGAACAGCGATTCGTGGTTGGGGTAATGCTTTGCCAAGCCATAAGACTGCTTGAGCCACGATTCGCCGTCCCAGAAACACGGACTCGTGCTCGTCCAGAGACGAGACTCTCGGTCACCCTCGGGCGGGATGCAGATGAGGGAGGAGTCTCGGAACTCTGACCTGTTATCCCGTGTCATCAGCAAACACGTCGACGTGATGGCCCCCTCAGGGTGACTTACATGATCTTTTGCCGTCTTTCGGTCGTCGTACCTTTTGCTTCAATCTCTGTCATCAGGCTTTCGATGATCTCCATAGGGGTCGTCGCCACCATCTTTGCGCTTCGTAGGCTGTCAATGTAGAAGCCGAGGGTCGGTAAGGTCAGGACGCCCAGGTGACGCAGAACCGCCTCCCACCGCGCGTTCTCCGGCTGGGGGAGATCTATAAAAGGGGGCAAACTGCCCCATTTCTCGATAAGGGCCTCCGATGGTCTGAAAGTCTCCGAGACTGGCGAACGCGTCGACCTCCCCATGCAGACGACTTCGAGCCTCTTCACTCGAGCCACCAGCAGCCATCGTTCATTGGCGAGAGCCCCGAGGGCAGTGATGCTTGTATCGAGCACCTCTCTGTAGTAACTCCATCCATCGCGCAGCAGCACCATCCAAGCCATGGGGCCTGCGTTTTCCACAATGTAGTTGAAGTCGGCGTGCAGGTAATCGGTCTCGACTTGCTCCGTGGCCCAGAGGCGAGGATATACACTGACCTTTAGTGTCTTGACGAGATAATCGTGCCACTTCTTCTTCTGGAGCTCAGGTACTTCGAGATAGGAAGCATGGAGGAATCCGTAGCCCCTATTGGCCACCTTCGGCAAGACTCTGCTGGCGGCTCCCGGCACGTCCAGGGGGAGATACATGGCTGAGCCCTTGCGGCAAGGGCCCTCTTGAGGAGCAAACCAGAGCTCTTGCGTCCGATAAGCGTTCTGCTCCCAATTCTCTAGATAGACATACCGCGCGTGCGATACCAAGGTCGCGGGCTTCAGGCCGTCCGGCTTAAAATTCTCGTTCGCATGCGCGTCGATGATCATGTTGGCGACAAGCGGCCTGGAAAGGTTCGCCACGCCCAGGTGCTCGAAGAGCAGCTTGCGCGCCGGGTCAGCCGCCGCCTCGGGGTCGACAATGCGAATCTTGATTCCTTCCGGGACGAGGGTCGAGTTTGACTGAGCCGCAAGTACACCTGTCCCTCGTTCATCGACGTCCAGCTCTGTCGCGCAGCGGGATGATGGCATGGTTCGCTTCCTGTAGTACCAGTTGACGAACGCAGACGACGTCAGCGTCTGCGAGAACTTGGAGTGCCAGTCCTTGGTCTGCTTCTGGAAGAACGACCGCGGTGCTTCTTGAGCAGCTTGTCAATCTCGTTCATGAAGGCTTCCGGCGTGATGTCCTTGACGCCCAGAGCTCTGAGGCTGCTCGCGTCGGGCTCGTCCTGGCTGTACTTGGGCGACAGGTAGCGGTCGTCATTCTTGTAGTGGAGCGTGAACGGCCGGCCGTCGTTGTCGCAGAAGATTTCGGGTACCCGTGTCAGCTTCGTCGGTTTCTTCTTTCGGCCCCAGGTCGAGTCGAGAAGTTGCGTCTTCTGGAGATCCGCGAGCAGCTTTCTCTGCAGGTCTGCGAAGATGCCGAGATGCGCGCTGTAGCTGCATGTCACGAAGCGGAACCACGTGTAGCGCAGCTTGTTACTGAGGTTGCTCATGTGCCTGACAGCGTCGAGAAAGGCTTTTTGCACAGCCGTCGTCAACGCCAGGTTCCATGGCAGATCAGCGTGGACATCTTCGCGGTTGGCAGACAACAGAAAGTCTGCCTGAAGTAGGAACTAGGTCGCAGAACAGAATCAGCGCTGCTGGCATTATCCGGAACATAAAACAAATTCACCTACCTTAAAGTCATAGTCGCGGATAGGCAAGAATGCATAGACGCTCTGCCTCTCTATGAGAGGGGTTTCTCCGTCCTTGTCGAGAGGGAATGCTATGACCACCTCTGAGCTCGATATGCCAGGCCTTCTTGCGTCGTTGGGCAATCGGTTGACTGTGTGGCGCCAAACCAGATATTGCTTCTTGACGCCATCATTCATCAATGTCGTCATGGAAGGGTTGCCTGAAATAGTCGCTTGCCGGCTGAGCACCGTCTTGAAGTCGCCGGACTTCCAGAACTCCCGTTGGACGTCAATCTCGAGCCGCTGCAGACGGCGAAGGAATATGAGAATCTTGGCATCATAAGAGCGAAGCTCGTCGACAATGCCCCCCTCATTGCAGTCTCTTGCCAGCTTCAGATAGATGGAGGTAAACCCAGGCTTGGGAGCTTCGGGAAATGCATCCCAGATCGGAGCGATCATCCCGAGGTGCCCATCGCGGTCGAATCTGAAGGAGTAGTGCCCAGAGGAGATCCAGACGGTTGACGCTACCTTGAAGACGGCCTTGAAACCGATACCTTTCTCACCGACAAATCCAGCGGATTTGCTTCTGCCGCTCTTCGTACTTTGGCAAATGCGACAAATGGCTTCAATGTTCTTGCGTGAAAACCCGCGCTCGTTGCAATCGATCCTGACCCGCCCAGGCCTGTACGTGATGGCCAGCGTCGGGGCGTCAGCCGTGTACATGTTGTCGTCGGCATTTTGGATGAGTTCGAGCAGAAAGTGCGTCGCTGTTTGGTACAGATCATGGGATAGACTGCCAACGTCAGTTCGGGTTGATCCGCGACGGCAAGCGCCCTACTGACACTTTCAAAGCGGATTCCAGGTCGGCGCCATTGTTACCAATTTGCCCTGGACCATCGCCGAGGCCCTTATCACGACGGATTTGACGGATGTGATCTTCGGCTTCCCGGGCAGACCGCGGAAAGTCTGCATCCATGGCGCTGGCTCGTCGCGTCAATTGCTGGCAGTCGCTGTCACCCAGAGAGACCTCAGTGATGAAAAGAAAACTCCCCGGCCGAGACGCCCCGGCCGATGCCGTCCCCGTATATATTCTCTTGCCACTGATCTCAAACGAGTTGACTCAACGCATCGGACAGCCCTGGCGTTGTAGGCTTCCTTTGCGCGTTGAATTTGCCCATGTGCCATCACTGCCTCTGGAAAGGCGCCCAACCTTGACCACTTTGGTCCGGGGCTGATTTGCACTGCCGCTTTGCAGCACGGCTGATCACTCCGACCAGGGGACACATCGCGCCGTCTTACGTTCACGCAACGAACCGGGTTTACCCCAATTATCCTCGGTGTCCGATTCTGGGCCAGTTCAATCACGTGGACAACACCTCCCACGTGGTGAATGCACGCTGACATTTGATGATGGGGGTTCGGGATCACCAAAGTCCATAGCCAACCAACAGTGGGTAGCCCTGCGGAGCCATGCAACAGGGGGGCTGGTTTGGGACGAGGGACTACGAGATCGCGTGGATAGGGGTTGCTGAGGGCCCTCCTAACTGCGGAGGGCGATTTCAGATGCGTTCTACCCCATACCTGTCTTGACAGCTTTGCCGCTCGCCCTATCATCGGTTCTGGTACCCGGGAGGGCAGTCAGTGTTTCTACCAGCCAGAGGTACAATGTATTTGTCAGAGCGTGGGGTTCAGCAGGGTGAAGAGGTCTTCTACAATAGGTCCACAGGCAATACTTCATAGGTATGGAGGCAGAATACATCTGAGATCTGGCCCTTCGCAACCCTTATATACACGTTCTCGTCATCCCTAGACCCTGACCGACCACCCCATGTTCCATGGCTCCGCAGGAGCCTGCTGACAGAATTATGTGTGGTATTGTATTTTGCCCGTCTTGGCCAAGGCTCTCATTGCATGCACCTTAAATAGCTTTGATGTAGATGCTAGATGGTTTCAAGGGTGCTAACGCGGGGTGCGAAACTTCTTGTCAATACAGGAAACAAGTTGATGACTAGCTAGCCGAAACACCACATTTGCCGCCGTCACGGTCGATACGGAAGAAGTGCGACATCTCGATAACGTGATGATATCAAAATACAAAAGCAGCTACAAGGGGTCAAAGAAACAGCTCTCTCCCACGTATTGAGCTGCAAGATGTCCAAACGAGCTGCAAGATTGACACAAAGATATGCCATACCAGCGACCATGAAAAGCTGCGATAACAGGGTGGTGATAGATGAGTGAACAAGAGTATGCTGACGCTTACATTCTTGTACGAGTGACTCCTGGTGAATCTTCTAAGCCTGTAGTCCGGGGGGGGGCAACGGGGGTAAGCGCACCAAGTTCGTAAGTTCGTTTCGAAAGACTACGGGCTATGAGTTCCGATATACAGTCATTATCATCTATATCTGTCAGATGGCCCCTGCGGAGCCACCAAGCAGGGGGTCGACCAGGGGCTAAAAGCTACGAAAAACGTATATACAAGAATTGCGGACGGCTCTCTAAGCTGCGGACGGCTAAAATTTAGATTTATTCCGACTCCCTACCTATATACTATTGCCTGCGGATCACCTCTTCACTCTGCTCTTTACCGCGCACTGACATTATTTAACCAAGAAAATGCTTAACTTGAACAAAAAATCTTTATTCATAGAGGAAATGCTCTTGCAGCCACATTCCTTACACGCCAAAGCTTTTGTCTCGTTCGACATAATCGGGTACTAGGGCAGCAGAGAAGGAGTGTTCGAGATATTCTCTTGGAGCTACCGGGGATTTCTTTTCATATGCCGAGTGAGTGAACCAAAATATCCTTGCATACCTTATGCAGTTGGGCCGCTATGCTTCCGACTATGCTCATGTCGAATCAGATGTCATGGTGAGCTAGACTTGGGCTTAGACAAGGCAGCGTAACGCATTCATTGAACTAAACAGTCATGACTTCTGAGCTTGATGTGGCCCGACCAAGATAAACAGTGCTCGTTATTTAACTGATGCCAACGCAACGATCTGGCTCCGTGCTGCTCGCACCAGTGACGAGGCGCCATCCGTATCGAGACACGCAGGTATCCTACGTGATGGTGCAGATGTGTCCTCCAATCACGTATGAAAGCGAAACTGTTTATCAGTGGTCTGCCGAATCATACTCAACGAGACAATACAACTTTGTTCAGAGACGCCGGCATAGAGATCACAATAGCGTCATATTAGCTCCCACTGACCGATCCTGCTGAAAGAAGACTTCGACCTCTGCTCTACACGTGGCCATGGTACCTTGGGGGCGGGGGTAAAGACTATCGAGGAAGGAAACATGGACCCCGCTTTGTTCCTACCTACTGTACACCGCCTCCTCGACGACCATCGTCGTCTTCGCATACGGATTAGATAGCGGGGCATTATGCAGCCCATGAATGTAAAATAAAAAATCGATGGCGGTGTGATCACCGCATTTCAATACATATGGAACCTGGATGTGGTGGGTCTCGCTATCTTTCGGTCATTGCTTCCCATGTTCGCAACCCTTGACACACCGTCAAGCATCTAGCCAGCCAGCGTGCTTCTACCTTAGCTACCTCACACTGCAATGTTCCCTGCCCTGCGTTGTACTCGTCCAAGGCGACTGGCGCTGGGCGCGGCAAACGACAACTACTTAGGCAGGGAGGGCATTGAGGCTTCCCATTGACGTTACGTGACCGACGGCAGACGCCGCCGTACCCAGTCTCCCGATGCAGCAGGGCAGGGGGCTTGTGATGACACCCAAATGTGCACTTGCGCCTTATTCTTCATGCTTCTGTCAACTCTTGATAGGTAAAGATTCAGTTCTGGGTCGTACTCCAATAAGGCAGCGTCTCAATTCCCACCTCCCATTTTGTACTAAGCGACTTGCACAACGGCGCTCGTGGGGTACAGTGTTGGGCACCATCGATTCGTGTTGCCGCCGCCACCGACCAGCTTTCTGTTACTTTTCCGCTGAACATGGGCAAGACCCGAGCAGAGCAGGGCCGTCAGGCATTCAGTGTACATGTAGGCCTGAATAGGGCTTTCATGCGTCTACTCTACGTAAAAGCAGTGGCTGCCAGGGCTGAGGCACAGTCATCCATGCCTACCGGCCGGGGTCTTTGCACTCCCTACGTGAGGACGCCTACATGACGTGTGCACAATGGGCATCGGCCATTTATTGGTGCAAGGGGATCTCAAGCAGGAAAGATTCATGTGCGCGATAATTGAGAGCCTGTTGAGGGTCTCAGGATTGGTTGCCTCGATCAACTTTTGCCTTGTTTCTACGCATTTCTCGCGTCGGACATCGTTTTTTTTGTAACTTCGGTGTCCCATCGGTAACGAGGCTTGCAAGCCACCCAGAAACATGATGGTCTTGAAGTGTCTGGTATTTTGCCTGCTCCTGGAGAGTCCGGTAGGCATCAGGAGGCGTTGGCGAAGAAGAAAAACTGCAGGAAGCCTGAAGGCACGGCTTCCTGAACTCACGTCTTCCTGAAGAATTGGCAATACATGCAAGATCTGAAACGCGCTCATCAAACCAATACTTGGGAACAAGGCTTGGGAAGAATCGATGATTGGAAGATGCAGTGGTCCGGGAGAGGAGGGGGCGCCGGCGAGTGCTTGGTTCAACGCCTGATGCCTTGACAGGACGGATACCGTGTTGCTTTCAAATCGCAAGGCTCAGACAACGCCGTGTAACGAGTTCAGTCCATCTGAGATGGCTGGAAATTGTTGTGAAACGTGGATGCTGCTACTAGCCGATGGATATCAGATGACGACGGAATTTCTTATTTCTTTGATGGACCGCTATGGCCTCGAGCCTAAGCGCTCGTGTAGCTCGTACTGGCCTCTGCTTCATTTGTTATTCTGAGGCTGATTAATCATACAGATGAGTGGCTGGTCAATAAGGGGCCCTGGGTACCCTGGGTGAGCTGGACATCAAATTCAGCCAATGAGTCGGAGAACTCGGGGCAGGACCATCAGACAAACATGCCTCATTCAACGGGGTTGGCTGTCGAGCGAGACACCCACACCAGTCAAGGGCAAAGCTACTGTGGTCTGGACAGTCGCATCACATCCAGCACGGAACCATGGCCACCAATAAACTCCTCGGCGAAGGCAATTGATACCTTGTTGAAACTTGTTCATCAAAATCACAGTCGACCTGAAATGAGCCTTGTTATTCTAATGGATAGCTAGCCACGCGCCCAGGGGCTTTCCAACCCTGTCGTTTCTCGATACGAACGTACCCGAGCAAGCTTGGTAGCCCAAGAAACGAAGACATGAGCAGGCAGCCAAACGGGCCACGGCCTGGCAATGAGGCTGTATGGCAGTATGATGGGCATCAACAACGGGAATTCAAGCCACGTCTGTTCGCCCGAACCCCGGTATAGACTCTCTGTTCAGCCCTGATGCTTTCTCGGATCGTTGCCTCGTCGCAAAAATTGGGCACGATGATCTGGTAGTGCAGACCTCGTCATCCTTGGCGGAAATCCATCGACCCATCGTCGAGCCCCAGTGAGGCGTTAGGCGATAGTGCCTCGCCAACACGTAAGCGTTTGCCTATCACTGACGGACAACGAGAATAAGGCGACTGGCGTGTAGAGTCACCGACATCCGTAACGACCGGGCGATAGGCAACGATGTGATGCGTCCTAGACATACCGAAACGAAGCATCGGGAGCTCCACGTTCGATGCCATGAGCATCTTCATGAAGTGCAAGCGAGCATGTGAACACAACCGCGGTGCAGGCGGGCCCGACTCGAGCCGTCCCACGGCATTTGCGCATTGCCGCGCTGTATTCAACGGCCTGAGCTAGGTAAGCCAGGCAAGCCAGGCACCAGCGCTGAGGTCTGGCCTGCTGCGCCGGGAAGGAACGTTCATACGAAGGTCAGCAGGCGAATTCCCTAGCGTACACAGTCAGCGTCAACAGTATTCTGAAGACGTGGAGCGAAGCGAAGCGAAGTAAGGAGGCGAAAGGGCTACCGACAGTGAAATCTTCAGGGGGGCCAAGCATAGAGCATTGTACTTGTTCACGGACGTCTTCTCGAAAGGAACAGCCGCTCATCATGTTCCACATTCGCCCCTTGAGCATGTCTCTTGCCACTCGTCGTGCCGAACTTACGTGTCCGGGTGATGGTGTGATGAGGCCCCAAGACCCGACTGACAGTGTATGACCACCCCAG